TATAAAATTTGATCCCATATCAGGATCTTTTGGATGGGATGTACTGTCTAAACCCCAGTCTTCCCTTACACTTCATGAGAGACTCATCAATAGAAATGTGTTTATTGGAGGTATATATAGTGGCAAATTTATTGTTAAAGTGGGCAATTAGAGGGCGTATTTTATATAGAAGATCATACTGCGGATTACTTTTTGGGGGGCACTTCTATTTTCACTAAAGTGCATGAATCGCAGTATGTCTTCATATCTGTCCCTAGCCATTGTCTGGGGAAAAATGGTGGTATTGCAAATAGAATTTGTAGTTCAATATATCCTAATTGTGGGCTTTTTAATCATCCCCATTATCATTGTCAGTGCCCAGAATTGTTTCATTTCTGGCACACTGGTTCGGTTCCATCTCTCTTTCCTGGCGATAAGAGAGTCTTGATTGCGTGCAAGATACTGCTCCGCGTACAGATTACTCTGCGCGACTATCTCCCCAAAAATCTCATCCCCCAAGAACAGCTGCATACAATTCAGCGCATTATAGCCAGACAGGTCAGCCTGTATGCCAGGATTGGCAGTGAACTCTGGGATGTCTGGTGAAAAATTATCAGGGGGTATCCAGTCATCTGCTCCATGTTTAGCATTAGGGGAATCAGCGATTTCCCCTGATGGTCCTCCAGTATCTGGCACATAGTCCCTGTCCCCTGCATCACTCTCTCAGGCAGTGTCGGTCGCCTCTGAGTCGGCCGCTAACAGGGCATAAGACTCCTCTGCGCTATACTTCCTAAACATTGTCTACTACGGTAACAAAACTTTAGCTAAATAACTAAACTTTATTTGTATTAGTTTTTTTTTACCCCTAACTAGCTTTTCACTAAATTCCACAATTCCCACTAAATTCCACCCACCCAACTTACTAAATCACAAATTAATTAAATAAAATATTAAAATTTAACCCCTTAGGGCAGGGGTCCTCAAACTCCGGCCCCCCAGATGTTGCTGAACTACAACTCCCATGACTCTTTGAATTACATAGATAGCCAGAGGATCATGTGAGTTGTAGTTCAGCAACATCTGGGGTGCCGGAGTTGAGGACCCCTACCTTAGGGTTACAAAAAAAATAAAATGTAACCCTTGAAGGTAAAAAAAAAAGAGTAAAGTACTCTGACCTGTATATTAATCACTGCTGGCAGTGATAAATCAGGAGGGAAAGGGTTAATTTTTTAAAAAGTACAGGGTAATTGTATTAGGGAATTGGAACCTTTTGTGACAGTTTAATTTTCTTCAGGGATACAAAGTAACAACGATCTGTCTTTCTCCACTTCAAAACCCCACAAGAGGTAGAGGGAGGCGGATCAGATATCCCAGCAGCATTGTGACCGCTGTGACTGGCTGTCACAGCGATCAAATGGGCTGGGACATCGCAATTTGCTGTTGCTGGCCTGCCCCTGACTCGAGGCACTGAGCATCAGTGTTAACCCTGCGATCGCCAGCACTGCGGCGATCGGGGGGTTAATTTTAACACATGACAGACCAGGTCCATCACTCAGCGTTAAGGGATTCCCCAGTTTGACGGACTCTGTCCCTCACCCATCATTAAGGGGTTAAAGTTGTAGTAGAATTGCAGTAGATAAAGCAAAGCTGGAGCAGAGATGCAGGAGTTAACCAAGGCAGAATTCAGGCAGACAAGAGTTGATTCAGGGAATCCACAGATGAGGGTAATCAACTCACTTGATCTAGCACAAGTCAGGATCTAGCTCTGCACTCCAGGGAAACAAAACAACTGAGCACAGACCCTAGGGTGGTCTGTTCTTAAATAGGGAAAAGGAGATGGAGAAGGAGATCCCCATAAGCATCCTCTCATATGCAATTCCACACATACACACACCACATATCAACACACACAATTCCACAAGCAGCCTTCATATGCAGCCCATATTCATAGGTATCATACACAAAACCACAAACTACTCATGAACATATACATACAAATACAATGCTACAAAGCAGCTGTAGCACTCACTAATAACACAAGCAGAATATGGCAACATACACACCTCATTTAAAAAAAAAAATAGGATTTCAAAATCTTGTTTTGGCACAGTACTGCTAAGGTTGCCTACCCCTGCACTAGAAAAAGAAACAAAATAAAATGTGTGAGAACAAAAGAAATTAAAAAACAACAACTTAAGAGAGTCATCCTTCAGGCATGGCTTGGCCTCTAGAAACAAATGGAGTCACGTTTCGGACATCCTAAATATGGGTAGTGGAATTCCCAGGTGAGTTTGAGGTTGATTGGTTTATATTCAAAGAGGCAAATAATTAAAGGCACCCATCAGGTGGGTGACAAGGGAACATGGCAGCCCCTATTTGTAGGTAATCACAGCATTTTGCAAGATTTCAGTAATAAAGCTCATGGAGCACCGCCATTGAAATGCAGCACTTTGCAAGTCCTGATAGAAAGAAAGCTGGTGCTCCTCGAAGATATACGGCATCTTGTGCTGTCATTATTGGGGTTTGGCAACGGACAATAACCTCTCTAAGTGATGCCTTTTGTGCTCTTGCAAATTTTGTTATGCTACAGGCCCCATCTAATTTAATGGGCTTTGCATGTTTAGAAGGCAGAAGAGAAGCAACAAGACACCTCAGGAATTTGGTCTACTGCTCAGTCGGTACAGCATCCGCGATACCATGGATCATAATATTCCTTCTCCTGCTCAGGTCATCCAATGTGTCAATCCGTTGTGACATGGCTTTCATTGACCCCTGTAACGGCTTCACTATCTCGGCTGTAGTGGCAACACTCTGATGAATGTCAAATACGTCTTTTTTTAGTTGGCTCCATAACATATTCCAGGGACCTGAAAGGGGACTGTGACAAAGTACACACTGTAATTACATTGCTCTCAAGTCCTGGATACTCCCACACAAAACAGGATAATCCCTCCCCTGTATGTGAGAGATAATTCAGTCAGGAACTGTACTAAACTCAATTATCTCCAGGCACAGAAAAAAAACACATTGTACAATAACCCAAAAGTATCACCAAAACACATGGAAACCCCACAAATATCCCCTGATAGCCTTGATCTGGGGGACCAACATATCCAAAAATCACCCAGATCGGTTCAGGGGTTTGGGATTTCCATGGAAGGCATAATTTTGACCGACCGTGCACATGGTCCTATGCCCAAAACAGTTCCAGGGAATTAGGGCTAACAGTCAGCCTTTTTTTCTGGAGTACAAAAGTACATAAATCACATACGTTTTTAAAGGGCCCATAGTCTTTTGGCAGGAGGCTGGCAAACAGGCCCTCCAAGAACATGTGGCAGAGGAATTTCTGCCACACAAATCATTTAGTTTCATTATAGATCAGTTTGTTTTCCTTTTCCATCGATTTGAAAATCGGATGACATTCGTTTGGAATTAAACAAATTGCATGTCTGTCTACCAGCCATGTTCTTCCCCTCTATAATTAAATCCACTGCCTTCCCTTAGCTGGCCTTCTCTACTGAAAACTCCAGCAGCACAGATCATAAACAGTTCCTCCTCTTTCTTTGCTGCTCCTGCAGCACAGGTCGGAGTATTTTGTCCTTGTGATTTCTTACAGTGTTTAGCTAATATTTTTATTTATTTTTTTCATATTTGTGTTCTCATTTATTACATGCTGATCTTATTTAGCCCCCACTACTATCTACTACCTTTTCAATACCTAATACTTTCTTTCATCCTTTCCTGTGGCCTTCTGCCTTTCCTCCACCACAGGCTTGAGCCTGCGGCTTTCCTTGCTCTCTCCTCCTGTCTGTTTGTGGCCTCTATTTAGAGCTTATTGGGGCTGGTGGGGGTGTCGAGTGCCTTTACTCATGATAGTTGGTGGGCAGGCCTCACCGACCGTTGCGCATGTGCAGCGACCCTCTTGGATCTTGTGAGTGCAGTGAGATACACAAAAGCAATCTTGTTTTTCTTTCCAGATTGGTATTAACACAATCTGGACACTGTGCACCTATACTCACCTGCTTCCACTGCTCTGTCTTCCATCTAGAGGCAACCATCAAGCTATAGTACTACTAGAGGTGCACCATCTGCTACAAATACTGTGGCATTTCTGGATCAGCTAATTGTCATATACATACACTGTGAAGGTTCCCAAGTCGGGGGGACCAATCACTACCAGTTCCCATTGCAATTGGTGGCAAGCGGTGGATAGTCCTCTCCATGACTATCCAAGCAACCAGGGGGACATTGACTCTGCAGGAAATAACCAACTACTGAGATACAGCATAACTAGTCTCAGCAACAGAGCTCAGCAGTGTATGAAGCAGGTGTGCTGACAATTGGAGTATGCAGGGCCAGATTTTCCCTCTCTGCTGAACATGGCCAGTTTCCTTCATATGCCTCCTGCTCATATCTACATTCACTTACACTGATGGGTCATCTTGTAAATTATATTTTATATTTCTTTTCAGTTTTATATTAAAACTTTCATCAGGACAACATATTTAAAAGAAAACTGAAACAATAAAATTTGATAATAAAATGATTGACAATAAAAGTTGAGTTTTTATTTACAATAAGGGTATAATTACTCATGGAGTATGCTTTTGAACCCCTTCGCGACCGCAAAAATACCGTCGAGGACCGGCGACGATCCTGAACCTTCATAACGGAAAACGGGCAATCAGAGTCAATGAGACAGCCACTAGAGGATTAGGGGGAAGGCTTAACCCATTCATAAACATAGCAGTTTCTCTGAAACTGCTATGTTTATGAAAAAATGGGTTAACCCTAGCTGGACCTGGCACTCAGACCACTTCATTAAGCTGAAGTGGTCTGGGTGCCTAGAGTGGTCCTTTAAACTCAGGCCAAAATTTAGAATCTATTTAGCAATTTTTTTCATGAGCTTTTGTAGATGAGTAAAAGATTTTTGAAGTAAAAATCAAAAAACATGTATTTTTTTTCAATTTTCATCATATTTTATTATTATTTTTTAATAATGGTATTTAAAGAAAGCCCTTTTTGTCCTGAAAAACCCCCCAATATATAATTTGTATGGGAACAGTAAATGAGAGAGCGGAAAATTACAGTTAAACACAAACACCACAAAAGTGTTAAAACAGCTCTGGTCCTTAAATGAACACTCTAGGCACCCAGACCACTTCAGCTTAATGAAGTGGCCTGGGTGCCAGGTCCAGCTAGGATTAACCCATTTTTTTATAAACATAGCAGTTTCAGAGAAACTGCTATGTTTACAAATGGGTTAATCCTTCCTCCAATTCCTCTAGCGGATGTCTCATTGACAGCCGCTAGAGGCGCTTGCGTGATTCTCACTGTGAAAATCACAGTGAGAGCACGCAAGCGTCCATAGGAAAGCATTGTAAATGCTTTCCTATGCGACCGGCTGAATGCGCGCGCAGCTCTTGCCGTGCGTGCGGATTCAGCCGAATGGGAAGAACAGCTGGAAAAAGGTAAGTTTTTACCCCTTTCCTCTCCCCAGAGCCGGGTGGGAGGGGGACCCTGAGGGTGGGGGCACGCTCAGGGCACTATAGTGCCAGGAAAACGAGTATGTTTTCCTGGCACTATAGTGATCCATTAATGTACAACATGGCCAAAACAGTCCAGTCCTGAAGGGGTTAATTTGATATTTATACACTTATTTATGTATTTAGCTTACAGACAATATAATATACATACTTCATAATATATGTAGAATAGGACTCACCTAAGAGGTTTGCCTTGCCGTGGCAGGTGAGCTTACACCTAAAGGCCATTTAAGTGATACTAAAAACCTCCAGTTATTTAAATATGCATAGAGATAGTACACAAGTAACTCTTTATTTGTGTTTTTTTATGTTATATTAAAAAACTAACATAAGATGAATGATTTAGCAGAAACACTAATGAGATAAATGATAATAAATTAATGTAATAATCCTTTCTATTTTATAATCTATTATAACAGATCAGACCCATTATATAATATTCAGAATTGTTTTAATCAAGTTTAGCAAATTCTTCTACAGTGAGAAAAAAGTATTTGGTGCCCTGCTAATTTTAAACGTTTGCCCACTGACAAAGAAATGATCCGTCTATAATTTTAATGGTAGGTGTATTTTAACAGTGAGAGACAGAATAACAAAAAAAAAAATACAGGAAAACGCATGTAAAAAAAGATATAAATTCTCTCATCTTGGGATACCTTCACCTACATAAGACTCAAGCATATTACACAACAGCATACCAAATGTGGCACTGTGAAGAATCACAACTAATGGCTTTTGGCCAATACTACATACGCAAATGTACTAACAAAAAAAACACTTTCTCTGTGTTATTCTGCACCCAACTACGCAGATCTTGCCACTAAACACACATACATGACGCTATGAGCGGGTGAGCTCAACAGGACTTTCCCAACTCCATTATGTCTATTTGCGTTACAAAAAACGAGGTTATCCTCCGATTGCCTTTCCCACTGGGAGGCATACTGCAAAATTCTTATTCTAATTCAAGGACGCTATTCTCGAAAATAGGGTTAACAGCTTTATAAAACACTAAGAACAGAAGGGACGTAAGAGGTTTTGTTGTTATGTCTTTTTTCTTTCCTTGTCTTTGTCTGTTTAGCTGCGCCCCCTATTTCTTTTCAGTATATATATTTACAGTTCGATTAATTTCATTGTCGGATCACAGATGCATAATTGTGGTACACTACCTCTCTCAAACCCCAACCAATTAGCACCACCTAGCTAAACTGGGATTTAGTTACCAAACTGACAACTAGTTGCATAATACGGTTACGCAACATGGTACCCATACAAAAAGGGACAACTGAAATTGCAACGTTTTATCCTATATGTTATCTGTTATCTGCAGTCCCGGAGCAGGAGAAAGAAAAGAAAAATTTGTACACAGACAACTGTAAATATGAAACTGTGTAGTATTTGTAATGTGATATGAATGTTGTATACGCACTGTGTACTAATATGCAAATTTTCTATAAAAATGAGATATTGGGAAAAAAAAGTTATAAATTGATTTGCATGTCAATGAGTGAAATAAGTATTTGATCTCTATCAATCAGTAAGATTTATGGCTTCCAGGTGTCTTTTATGTAGGTAACGAGCTGAGATTAGGTGCATTCTCTTAAAGGGAGTGCTCCTAATCTCAGCTCGTTACCTGTATAAAAGACACCTGTCCACAGAAGCAATCAGATTCCAAACTCTCCACCATGGCAAACAACAAAGAGCTGTCTAAGGATGTCAGGGAGAAGATTGTAGACCTACACAAGGCTGGAATGTGCTACAAGACCATCGCCAAGCAGCTTGGTGAGAAGGTGACAATAGTAGGTGCGATTGTTGTGGTCAGATGAGACCAAAATCGAGCTCTTTGGCAACAACTCAACTCGCCGTGTTTGGAGGAGGAGGAAGAATGCTGCCAATAACCCCAAGAATACCATCACCACTGTCAAACATGGAAGTGGAAACATTATGCTGGGTGTTTTTCTGCTAAGGGGACAGGACAACTGCACCACATTAAAGGAACGATGGCCATGTACTGTCAAATCTTGGGTGAGAACCTCCTTCCTTCAGCCAGGGCATTGAAAATGGGTTGTGGATGGGTATTCCAGCATGACAATGACCCAAAACACACAGCCAAGGCAACAAAGGAGTAGCTCAAGAAGAAGCACATTAAGGTCATGGAGTGGCCTAGCCAATCTCCAGACCTTAATCCCATGGAAAAAATCCCTCCTAAGATGTGTGCAAGCCTGGTGGCCAACTACAAGAAATATCTGACCTCTGTAATTGCCAACAAGGGTTTTGCCAGTTGAATGGGTCAAATACTTATTTCACTCATTGACATGCAAATCAGTTTATAACTTTTTTGATATGCGTTTTTCTGCTTTTTTTTTTTTTGTTATTCAGTCTGTCACTGTTAAAATACACCTACAATTAAAATTATACACTGATCATTTCTTTGTCAGTGGTCAAACGTTCAAAATCAGCAGGGGATCAAACACTTTTTTTCCTTTACTGTAAATCCCTTATTAGTGTCACTTTATTATATTGTGAAACAATAGGTGGCTATGATGTTTAACAGCTCATTACGCTGTAAATAAATGATTATTATTATTATCTCTGAATCTTCATTTAACCCCTTAAGGACACAATTTCTGGAATAAAAGGGAATCATGATGGAATATTTCCGTCATGTGTCCTTAAGGGGTTAAGAAAAGGATCCAAGATTCAGGTAATTTGAGAGTTCAAGCAGAAGCACACAAGTCATGTGTACAGAAAAAGAAACGTCAGTGTGATATTATGACAAAATAGTAAATTAAATAATAGTACTCATATTTTTAAATTTCAGAACAAAAACACATAAATAGATAACAGAATTGATATCAATGTCTTTTGAACTAAGATCATTGAAGAGGAGCTTTCGGTTTTTAAACACTCATCATATTTGGTGAAGTCTACTTCACGTATGGCACAAACATGATCAACCCTACAGTTGTGCTCACACGTGTTCCTATCATAACTGACTGAATTGTACTCATAATATTTCTGTAGGTAACAGGGGTCATCAGCTATCTTCTTAAGGACATTGTTCATAGACTGTGAAGATCCATCAGAGACTTGGAATGCTTCAGTAAGACGATACTCTTTTTCCCACCTTGGGACCACGTTATTGGCAAAAGTAAGGTTCAAGTAATAAGTGACCATGTCCTGCAAACACAAAAATAAAGAATAATTCCACAGAAAACTGTTTATAAGGCACTTGGTGGAGATGGAATCCAGATGGAAATGCTGACAGACTACAGTATTGAAAATATATGATCTTGTATTTTCCATATTGTATTGAAAATACTTGATTAATAGGCGTGCGCACGGGGTGTGCCGGGTGTGCCTGGGCACACCCTAATCCCCGCGGCCCGCGCTGTGTGCCTCCCACAGGCAGGGAGGGAGGCAGGAGAGGACCCAGGGAGCTCTTGCCAGCAGCTCCGTGGGGTTCCTCTCACAAGGTTGGAGCATTGCTGCGGCAACGCTCAGATCTTGTGAGAGTGAGTTCACTCACACTATGACCACCAAGGATCAGGGATGGCAGCAAGGATCCCCCCCCCCCAGGCAAAAGGTAAGAAGGGAGGGCTATTTCCTAATCTGTCCCCCTACCCCCACACACAATCCCTCCAAACACATTCACATACACAGCACACACAGCACCCTCACACACACAGAGCACCCATACACACACACACAGCACACTAATAGCACCCTCACACACAGCACACTAACAGCACCCTCACACACACATCACCCTTACACACGCACACACACAGCACACTGCCAACACCCCCACACACACACACACAGCACCCTTACACACAGCACCCTCGCACACGCACATATACACACACACAGCAGTGTATATTTGTATGTGTGTGTGTGTGTGTATATATACATATATATATATATATATATATATATATATACACACATTCACACACACATATACACGCGGCGTGTGTGTTTGTGCTTTAGGGTACACACCCTTATGCAATAGGCTGCGCACGCATATGACTTGATTCATATTCTGTATAATGTCAATAGGCTTTCTTTGAATCAAAGTAGAAGCCCAGTTAAACAAGTAGCAAGTAAAGACCATCTTTTATAGGCCAGATGATATCTTTTGTTTTTGCATTATAGATACTATTGTTGCACATGAGGAATTCATGTAAAAAATAATTTCACACTTCTAAGCCTGGATGTTCTCATACAACATGCTTTCAATGTTGCAAAGGCTAGTAAGGTCAGTGGTGTATTTGGAATTTATGCTGCCCTAGGCATGAAGAAACTGCCCCCCCCCCTCTAATTTAAATTTGCCTCACCCCTTCCTGTCAAGACCGCACGCACTTTTTCATGACAAACACACTCTCACTGATGCATGCACTGACATACACTCACTGAAAGATACAGTTATTAGCACACACACCGTTTAGCCAACACACACAAAGACTTTCACTGACAGACACACACACTCAGATACACTGACACACAGTGACATACACACACACTCACTGATTTGACAAACTGTAAAAAAAAACACACTGGCAGGCGCACACACACACTGATAGACGCACACACTCATTGACAGACATGTACTCATTTACAAACACATACACTCACTGACAGACACACACTATTATACAGACACACACTGGCAGAGGCACACACTTATTTACAGACACATTCACTCACAGACATACACACATTAACTGACAGACACACACTAATTTACAGTCACACACATTCACTGACAGACACATTCACTCACTGACAGACAAACACTCACTGACCGAAAGACATATACACTCACTGACAGACAGACACTTACAGACACACAAACATTAACTGTCGGACACTCACTGACAGACGCACACACTCACTGACAGACACACTGACAGACTGACAAACACACACACACACTCACTAACAGACAGACATACACACTCACTGGCAGACATACTCACTGACAGACAGACACATACACTTACTGACAGACAGACAGACACATACATTCACTGACAGACACACACACACTCAGACACATTTCCCCCAACACTCACATATTATTATTATTATTTTTTTATTTGAATCCACCCAGCCTCCCTGGGAGAGCTGGAGTTGATTCCTTACCTGGGGTCCCGTGGGGCTGCAGGGCTGGCTGATGGGACTGTTTGTGCTGCTGGGCAAGTGTGCGTGCAGGCAGGGGGTGCACTAGCAAAGTAGGCGGCTTTGATCTTCCTGCTCAGCTCCCTCACGCGCCACTTAGTGATGCCGGGAGCCGGACTTACATCATGTTCTGGCTCCCGTCATCACTAAGCGGCGCGTGAGGGAGCTGAGCAGGAAGAGCTCAGACTACAGCACTCCCTCGTTGCCCGACCGCAAAACAAGCTGCCGCTTGTCTCGGGGGGGCCCAAAGGTTGCCAGATGGCCAGCTCTTGGGCCCCCCAGGACATGAGGCTAACAAGGCATCCGCTAGGGCGTTTGGGGGATGCTTTTTTTTGCCACCCCCTGGAAAGTGCCACCCAAGGCAAATGCCTCGTTTGCCTCAGGGTGAATACATCACTGGGTAAGGTATTGTCATATATAAATAGGGGCAATAATTCTCGATATGAAAATAATAATGTTGCCTCTTTATAAGCAATGGTAAGACCACACCTTGAATATGTGCAATTTTTTACGCCTGTTCTAAAGAAGTATATTATGGCACTAGAAAACGTGCAGTGGTAGACTACAAAATTAATATAAGGAATGGAACATTTTAGTTATGAAGAAAGGTAACAACTTTAAATCTCTTTAGTTTGGAAAAAAGGCACCTCAGAGAGGTATGATAACATTATACAAATATATTTGGGGGCCAATACAAACCATTGTCTGGAAATATATTCATAAACAGGATTATACATAGGACAAGTCATGGGTGTCCAACCTTTTGGTTTCCCTGGGCTGCATTGAGCGTAGAGGAATTGTCTTGGGCCACACATCAAATATATAATATAGATCAAGGGTAGGCAACATTCGGCACTCCAGATGTTGTGAATTACATCTCCCTTGATGCTTTGCCAGCATTATGGCTATAAGAGCATTACGGGAGATGTAGTTATCACAGATAGACATATAAAATCACAGACCTATACACACAATCATATACATACAAACACATAATCACATGATCACAGATATACACACACACAATCACAGAACCACACACATAATCACAAACTATCACAGACATATCCACAGCCCCCCCCCCCACACACACACACACAGCCAATCACTCACAAAACATACACAAAAATCACATCACATGCACACACATTTAGTACTAAAGAGGTTCATCCAACCTCCCTACCTTGCTCTGGTAGTGCTGGAATGGATCCTCTCTCCCTGGTGGCCAGTGGTTGCTGCTGGGCTGGAGCCTGTGACCTCTGTGCTCTTCCTACACAGGTCCCTCGCTCGCCCAGCAGTGATGCCGGGACGACGGTGAGGAAGCTGTGCAGGAAGAGAACAGAATGTAATAGGCTCCCTGCCTCACTCTCTGCCCGGCAGCACAGACGGCAACTGAGCCGCACTGCTAGTGGTCCCGGGCCGCATGCGGCTGCGGGTTAGACATCCATCGTCTAAGGCAAAGGGTTTTTTTTTATAGTAAAAACAATAGTAAAAACAATAAGAATGTAGAAATATCTGTCTGAAGAGGTGATTTTATCACAGTCTATAAAGATGATTAAACAGTAGTTGGATAAATACTTGCACAGACATTATATTCAGGGATATCATTTTTGAATTAATGGAGTAATAGCTACTTCATCCAAGATGATATCTAACTGCCATTCTGTGGTCAAGAAGGATTTTTCCCCCTAGTTTGTTGTAAAAAGCTTCAAACTGGGTGTTTTGCCTTCTTTTGGATCAACAGCAAAAACAAATGTGAGAAAGGCTGAACTTGATGGACGCCTTTCTGTTTTTAGTTACTATATAAATAAAGATTCTGATTCTGAAAATCACAAAATTGCAACTTACCAAAACCTGAAGACTATTTCTGTCATATTCAAAAAGTCTTATTCCAGGGTTATTGGCTCCATTGTCCACTCCAGGTAATGTAGTTTTCCAAGGAGATACACCGGGTGCAATAAACATGGTACTGATGGGATTACCTTTTTGGAGAAAGATTCAATAACAGAGTTGTTTTGTTGCATTCTTAAATGTTCATGAAGGAAATAAATAAAGAAAAGGACCACTATAGGCGACCAGACCACTTCAGCTTAATGAAGTGGTCTGGGTGCCAGGTCCATCTAGGTTTAACCCTTTTTGCTGTAAACATAGAGAAACTGCTATGTTTACATATGGGTTAATCCAGCCTCTAGTGGCTGTCTCATTGACAGCTGCTAGAAGCACTTCCGCGGTTTTCACTGTGATCTTCACAGTGAGAAGATGCCAGCGTCCATGGGAAAGCATTGAGAATGCTTTCCTATGGACTGACGGAATGTGCGTGCGCATTCAGCCGATGACAGCGAAAAGGAGGAGGAGAGTTCCCGTGCCGAAGGGGCCCAGCGGGGGAAAACAGGTAAGATTTAACCCCTTCCACCCCCTAGAGCCCGGCGGGTGGGGGGGCCTAGAGGGTAGGGGGGACCTAGAGACCCTATAGTGCCAGGAAAACAAGTATGTTTTCCTGGCACTATAGTGATCCTTTAACCACAGACATTTTAGATTGCTTAAAGGATTTGCATATCCTGATGATTATAAGGTCTCTAAGCATTAAGCGAAAAATTACAATTTTTGTTGCTTAGGGGAATCATATAGGAGTATTATGTTGTCTGAATAGAAATGTAAAAATGTAAATGTAATTACAGAAACTTGAAACATTTTATAGACCTTTACATTTAGTAAAGGTTGATAATGTCTTTGGAAATTAAAACACACATAGAGAATAAGTTATGCAGTGTGTGAGATTTATAATTGACATCTTATTTGTCTGGAAGAGGAATATAGAAAAAGAATGTTACATGGATGGATATAAATGCCATTACTTATCGTACAATTCATATCAAACTACCATTCTATTCATTGGAAAGTATTTGCCACTTATTGTTACTTGTATTACTGCTGGCATTATAGGTATAGTCACAACTTTCTAGACTGCATGTATGGTCCAGGGTTGAAAGGGGAATGCCCTAGGAGGGAATAGGTTGATTTCAGGACTCATTTATATTGTCTATTCCTATAGCAGAGCATCTATTTATTTTTTTATGTCAGTATAATTTTAGTATGTTTTAGCAGTTTAACTGCCTAATTTCTAAGCCTCATGGTGTTCTGCTTGCGACTAGACCACTACTAGACTAAAACAGGGCCTCATTGGTGGGCACAAGTATTACTTATAAAATTAGCCTGGAAGTGTGTATTATGCTTGTGCATGCTCTCTCACTATGTCCCCGGCATTTCATTGTCATTCCAATCATCTGATATTGTAACCCTCATGCTCTCAGATATGATGTTTATCTTGTTTATTCTGCATGTTTTATAAACAAACAAAAAAGTGACATTCCTGTATGACATAACTGTCAGTTTCTACTTTTGTTACTATGTCTTTATCTTTGCACTTTGCACTTCAAAAATAAAGGATTTAAACAAAATGTTAATGTCATTGTGAGATATTACAAATTTGACAGGAAATTAGGAGTTCACAGCACTGCAGTGAAAACTGAAAACTCTCTTTTGAATGGTAAAGAATGAGATCTGAAAAAACTTTGGGAGCATTGTTACAGATAGTTCCCCAGGGCCACAACTCTCTTCATGATGGTGTTTTCTACATTACAGAAATGCGCCGTAGCAAACATGGTAGAGGAAAAAGGATATCCATTAATGTACAGGTTGCTTCTGATAGCGATAGCTAGAGGTTCTAAAGAAATATCATGAAGTCAGGGGGGTAGGGAACAGCCTAGCCTAGAGCCACTGTTGATTCCAAATGTTGTACGGATGAAATGGGTTAGTGTAAATGATTTTTAGAGTAGAATTAAACATTAGGGGGAGTTCAAATTGCTTAAAGGGATGCTCCAAAACCTTAAAGCATTTGCATCTATATTACCATATTCTCTGTTTTTGTTGTAATGCAATTTCATAGGACTCTCCTAAAGAGAAAAAGGTGATCCAGATGTGACCCCTGTGCTCATTGTGCCTAGATGGGTAACAGCTACACCTCACTGATGATGCCCAAAAGAGGGCCAAACGATCATCTGAGGTTACTGTTCTCTGCATGTCATGTATGACATAGCTGGAAAAGCATTACTGTCAGTTTCTACTTGTACATTCATCTTTGCACTTCAAAAATAAAGAATTTAAACAACAAAATCCTATTGTTTGAGAAACCTAATCTTAGGATGTGTTAACATTAGAGTTAATGTAATTGCAAAATATTACAAATTTGATAGGAAAGCTCCACTTGTAGGATATATTAGGTGTAACTGAAAACTCTCTTCACAGTTGAATGGTAAAGAGTTAGAGATCTGAAAATTTTGGGAGAATTGTTACGGATAGTTCCTCTGGGCCTTCACTCTTTTCATGATTGTGTTTTTTACAATATGGAAATGTGCCCTAGTGATGACATCATGGGAAAGTATCTTTTGGTTGTTTAGGAGATTTGGCAAATTGTTGGGTACAATGCAGAGGACAATTTTCCAGGCATTCATGCTGTTAATAAATTTTGGACACATTGTACCATGCCCACTGATGTAACATCTTCTATTCAGAAGATTATTTTGGTGAAACCTGTCCTCCAAATAAGTAATATGTAATTGAAGCATCCTAACCTCCTTCAGCAGTACTTGCTGCTGATCGGCTACGTTTTTTTCCATGCACAATAGTGTCGTGGATAGGGCCTTCCAGATTGTTTGTTTGTCCTGGAGCATAGGTCCAATAGTTCTTACTTCAAGAAGTCTGTAAACCTTTTGATGTCTCCCTTAATGTCCATTGATTTCGGTTTTAATATGTGGTAGATAATGTTTTTGAGGGGAACGGAGTCTGACCGCGGAGTTGAGCGGACGGAAGATAGAGCTGTTCCTGCTCTTTTGGACAAATATTGCTGACTACTTTCATAATCAGCCTACATATGACACTAATGGACCACCAAGTGAGAGGCAATACCAAATAAGCAGCTTGCCCAGCGGGAATCACCGGAGCGAGATCTGCGGCCTACAAGCATTGTCGACGCGGGGAGGCGGCTGCTCCCCTGCCGCCACAAATGGCAGAAATCTTAAACACACCCCCACCCCAGATGGACCAGTGGGGGTTATCCAGGACCTAGGGAAGCCATGCTCTATGGCAGTAATACAAAGTGAGGGTTACTAACCCTGCAATGGCGGCGAACGCCACTGGGCTTTCTGACACAGCGGAGACGTCTGACATTCTAGCAAAGCTGGATAACATATTCACTGCCTTCTAGAGGAAACTGGCTCTTGGAAAGGGGCAGGATAACACACACAATCCAGATGAGTACTCACCCAGGGTGCTACCTACATACTCCCATCACAGACGCAAACCATCCTGAACAAAGAGAGCATGAAAATGGCACCGCAAACAGTGACTTTTTATACCTGCATACAAATCCGCTGCTATACCTCAACGCAAGAAACTGACAACTACATCTATGACCAGCGGCCAGACATGAGGTTCCTAACGTGCCTGCATCCCTTCCCATGCTGGATACTAATGCCATTGAGGAAAATCCAGAGGGCCTCACTCCACACTAAACACTCCACTGAACGTCTCCAGTCACACAGACTGCTGGACCCGACACTAAGACTCCTGCAACTAGGCTATGCACTACCCCAGTGGGGCATTGTCTGACCTTGGTGAGGAGGCGAAAAGATACCGTCTCTGGCACAGAAATCATTACCACAATAAGTTGCAGGGGAAATAACTTTTTGATATTGTTTTTGCTTTTCTTTGTTTTTGCTTTACAATGTGGGACTTATACATAGATAGCTGGGGGACCTCCTCAATTGGTCTCTCATTGTCACCCAGTCTCTTGTCTAGCTGAAGAGCAATTTGTTTAAGTTGTCTAGTTAGATTATAATTTTCATAGTTGTCCTCTTGCCTCTAATGCCTTTTATTTATCTACTCATTCATGGGGGTTGGGTGGGAGGGAGGGGTCTGACCTGCTAACATTAGCATCGCTTTCTCATATATACTGAGTCTATTCAAGTTTTCATTGTTTCCTCAACATATTTACTTAACTAGCCTGATTACTATATACCAACATTGTGCATAATTTACCCATATGTTATCCAACACAAAAAGCTTTGTAATTTGTATTTTGATTTGTTTGACAACCACTGTTGGGGCATGTCTAGCATGAATGTATCTCACTGCACAGCAAAAAATAAAAATTTTTAAAAATAATGTTTTTGCTTTCCAACTCCACCACCCTCAATTTTGTTTTGTCCTGGGATACTTGTTACAGGTTTAAAGTAATACTCAGGATAAAATTTTATGAATTATATGTCATAGAAATAACATCACATGTAGGCTAATTTTAGTATAAAGTTCACTAATAAGCTGCACCACTAGATGTCACTAGAAGAGAGCAATTGATGATAACGAATCTCCGTTATTTGCTTTTAAAGGAGAACTGTCACTTCTCAGGACTTTTAATTATATACATACACACCCTAAAATATTTATAGCCAGTGTATAATTAAGATTATACACATTTACCAAATATGTATTTGTGAGGCATTAATAATAAAATTTAATGTAGAAATCAACCTTTTGTATCCGACAAGTCCAACATCATCTTCTGTACAACACCACAAATATACAGAAACAGAAATTATGGAAAATAAACTACTATAAATTAATGTAAAAATGTCTTCATGTTTGCATATGTGTGATGTCATCCTTTCAATTATGTTAGAGGAGTGTGGAAGCTAAGAAACCAAAGGAAATAACACGTTCGGTGCTCCTTTCCGCATCAGATTGACAGTAACTACCACACTCTGCCTACAACACACACTCTTTCTTCCTGGTTGCACATGAAGAGTTATGATGCAGGTCTCAAGTGAAAAAAAAGGAATGTCGGAATAATAAATAAAAAGATGAAAAAAAACTGGAGAAAAAAGGGAGAGCTAAATAGAAAGGGGATAACCTGGGGTATAGGGAGGGAAATGTGAGAAATTGAGCTGGGGAGAATGGAATAAGAGTTTGAAAGAAGAGGTTTGCTAACAGTACATGAAACCTATGGATGGTTTACACGACTGGGGTCCTAAAAACTGTACCAAATGGTGAAGTGATTTTTTTCCCCTCTTACCAGATGTGTTAAAAGGGACACTATAGTCACCAGTGCAACTACATGTATTCCTGACCCTATAGTGTTAACACGACGATCTAGCCCCCCTGCGCCCCTCATGCCTCCATAAATATCGTAAAAATCTTACTGTATTCAAGCCAGAAGCTGTAAATCTGCATGCTCTTAGACTCAGGAAAAACAAGCAGTCTGCAGACATGTGATAGCCTGATCCAATCACAGTGCTTCCCCAAAGGATTGGCTGAGACTGACAAGGAGGCAGATCAGGGGCAGAGCCAGCATGATTCAAACACAGCCCTGGCATCTCCTCAATAAATTGAATCAATGAATCTCTATGAGGAAAGTTCAGTGTCTGCATGCAGTGGGAGGAGATACTGAATCACAGGATGCTCGTGCACAGCAGATCTGAGTGGATGGAGGCATATTATGCCTCCATCAACTCAGAGATCCCTCTGGTTTACTCTGAGTGACTGCAACTGGAGGTGTTCCTAGCTTTCAATGTAAACACTGTATTTTCTTAGAAAATACAGTGTTTACATGAGAAAGGCTGCAGGGAGCTATAGTTCCCACGTGAACAACCTCATTAAGCTGAAGTTGTTCAGGTGACTATAGTGTCCCTTTAAACTTTACATTTTGGAGATTTTGCATGGTGGACAACTTTTACTGAGTGTGGTAAGTGTACCTCTTTGTTCTGTACATTCTGCTTACCTGAGTTACTGTAGAACATCCGGAAGGAGTCTGTGTGATGATGCCCAAAAAACTGGCCTTGTATTACATTGTGGTGTTTCTGTATGATCTCCACATAACGTTTGTTGAAGTTTTCTCTAAACCAAGGTTTCCCTCTTTTCTTTTCAAAGTATCCAGGCGGCACATGACCAACTAAATAAACCTGAAAAATTGTTATGTTATGATATTTGTGATAGAGAGATAGATAGATAGATAGATAGATAGATAGAAGAATTTTCTGAAGGTAAGTGCATTACAGTCTAAATTGCCCATTGAATATAACAGTGTCTCATCTCTGTGTACCAGTAATCATTTTAAAATACCTGTTTGTAAACCACCAAAGTAGTTTATCACAGGTTACCATCAATGCCAATCTGCTGGTTTTGGAAAAGTACAAACTGATTTGCCCTTAAGCCAATTCACTTAATTATCTTTTTTTCCCCCACAATTTTTTATGTTGAAGTTCTTTGCTACTAACAGTAAAATATTTAGGTTTTTGCAGGCTTTCACGTGTCTTGCAAACTTCTTTCATTTAAGAAACATGGAGGCCATTGTACTCTTGGAAACCTTCAATGCAGCTAATAATTTTAAACTTGTTTTTCTAGACTTCCCCAGATCTGTGCCTCAACACAATCCTGTTGGTTAGGCAGTTCCTTTGACTTCATGGCTTTTGCTCTGAAATGCATTTACACCTGTGTGACCTTTATTTAGGTATATGTGTACTTTTCCAAATCATGTCCTGTCAATTGAATTAGCCACAGGTTGACTCCAATCAAAGTGTAGAAACATCTCAAAGATCATACAGACAACTGGGATGCAGTTATGCTAAATTTATATTGTCAAAGCAAAGGTTCTGAATAGTTATGTTATCATGATATTCCCATTTTTGTTTTTAAAGAAATGTTATCAAAAATCTAATTATTGCTTTGTCATTATGGGGTATTGAGCATAGATTGATGTAAAAAATAAAATAGAATAAATAAACAATTGTAGCATAAGGATGCAACATTAAAATTTTTTTTAATAGATTATGGGTCTGGATATTCCCTGCATGCACTGTAAATATACTTGTTATATTGGCATGGATCCATTTTTAAATAAAAGTTGACTTGGTTATAATGCTTAAGAATATAAACTGGATTCAATGGAAATGACTTAGTAAGTGGAATTTCACAGCATCTTCAATTAAGCCCTCATGGTTGTGAGGCAGTTTCAGAAGCTGCTTAAAGTGGCATATTTTCCATTTCTAAAAAAACTCATATCTATTGAATTTGATATTTTCACTGAAATTCCAGTGCACTCAACAGATATACTTAAGACAATGTACCTTGTCATTGCCTATCAGTCACTCACAATAGCTGATGGGAAAATGAATGACATTGTTCCTGGTACATATATCTCCAAGGAGTTGACGAGGTTGAGGCTTTTGCTCCAATAAAGCTGCTATATTTGTTATCTCGCAGTGCTTGAACCGTTATTTATTCTGCATATCTTGGAAGGGAAGGCTGGCCAGCCCTGACTTCAGAGCAAATGGGTTGTTTGGTGAATGCTGTATCCAGTACGTCTCTACTAAGATTGAGATGGTGTCACTAATGGAGAGTTCTTTCATCCCCAAACATTATCATGTGAACGGAAATGCTAAAACTATCTACACTCCTCTCAAGTAGCTCATATTTTCTATATCACAATACACTTTGAAGGATAGTTGGGAGTATGCATATTCATTACAATTGTAAATTGTTAAGTACAAAGAAGGACATTATAACATTTAAACCCATTTAATGTATTAGCCCCAATTGGCTAGCTTACTAACTTACTCATACACTTTGGATAACCCATTAATTAATGGCTGCTCAGTCCCCATTCTCTTTTAATTGACCCTTTATAATAGTAATTTGAAAAAAATATATAATTCATATACAGGCAGTTACCTTTTTTAGTTGTTGAGAAGCACTTGTTAATTCATCTTCTAACCACTTTAACTGATCCCCTGGATCATCCATATTGGCTGTATCTCTGTTGGAGTCATAATATAGATTGGTATTTAGAACAATCACACGGCCAGCACTTATATTCACTATATCTTCTCTATAAAATGCTCCTGAGGAAAAGGAGGAAGAAAAAAAAATACTCATCATTACTTAAGCATATTTGGTTGAAAAATGTTAAAAACTCCCACTATAAACAACGTCATTGGTGTGAAGTCATTATGGGGGAAGAAGTACATGGAAGTGTTCCTGTAAACTGTTAAAAATAATTAATAATAGATTTTTATTAGGGCAATGTTGGGGTCCTGGTTTTAAGATCAGGTCATAAAATGACATTAAACATTTATTGTAATCTTGATAGAACTATAATCTAAACCAAAATCAATGTTAAAGTTAAAGGAACACCCCAGCACCTCAATCACTAATGGTTTGACTTCTTACCCAGGGTTTGCTGGGCTCCACTCCATTAATCAATCAAAGCTTAACTTAGAAGGTCTATCAGTAGCCCTTTGCTAGGAGCTACTGGCTCTTGGGACCAGAATTGAAGAGGCATGGGTTACACCTCATTTACCCCAGGTAACAAATAAAGCGATTATAAAACAACATAGAGTGTGGGTACTTGCGCACTGCTATTACCATAACAACTATTGTGCAATGCAGTGGTTATGTTGCACAAACAGGATAGACATATAAGTGACATCATTATGTGCCAATCCATATTTTCTTATTGCTGCTCAGTAAGGGAGTCTTATATTTGGCCAAAATTAGTGCATGGGCTATTAATTTAAGTAGCAGTGAATAGCTGTCAGTGAATGGGACTGCTTGTACACTTTAACTAATTAATATAGGCTCCCAGAGTGCGATACGATTGCATAAGCATATTATTTTACCATTTACTCCTGTTGAACAGACTATCAGATAATGATAACCTAAAAGTTTTTTTGGCTAGCACTGGTGGTCAACTAGTTTTCCTACCATATGTTAAAATAACAATACATAATGAGCTTTACATATTGTTAAAGTAGTAATTTTATTAACTTTAATATAGACCCTGCGTTCCTAAGGTTTGATCAGATTCTACGCTTAGATCATTAAGCAAAAAGAAATGTCTCAGCCAAATACAAAATTAACAAACCATCACATTTACCTTTTTGGAAACTTGGTATAGATTCTTTGTTTAGCCATGGGCTCCAAAATTGTGCAATCCTAGTGTAAATAGAGTTATTCTGTGGTGGTAGTTGATTTTTGGGATGAAAATCGTGGTTTCCTAATGCTGAATAAACTTTGGTTGCTAGAAAATAAATAGTAGACTGTCAGTTATTCATACCCAACAAAGCAGTATATGCAAAGGAAAACTGAAGGGAAAAAATGACCTGTTATTTTTAAGGGGGTTACTCCATCCAAAAAGTATTGTTTTCATAAAACACTGATATTGGTTATAGTAACCCTTGCCTTAAAAACTCACCTCATTCCAGAACCAAGGTCAAGTTCTCCCTGCAGCCTGAGCCTCCACAGTTGATGTCACCCTCACTGCTTAACCCCTTAAGGACCTAACTTCTGGAATAAAAGGGAATCATGACATGTCACACATGTCATGTGTCCTTAAGGGGGAGAAAGGTTAGCTAGGGTGAGCACGTGCTTCAATTGGCTGTCTTTGCCAAATTTGATTAGGATTCACATTAGCCATTCGCAACTATTGTCCTGGGCTGGTGAATTATGTCCTAAGATGGAGTTACAACTCCAGCCGCAGAGGTATTATACTCCAAATGTGCAGGGTTTCACAGCAAAATGCTGCACATACAGATTCCTGGAACCATGACCACTTCAAATCAGTGAAGTGGTCAAGGAGCTTGGAGTAACCCTTACATTATACATATAATGTAATATAGGTAATGATATATAGATAATGATTAAAAAACAGTGCAGAAAATGCACAGTTTAGTTGCCTACAGCTAAAGGCAGACACTTTCCTAACCAGGAAGAGACGTCCAATCAGACGTGTCTATGTATTATTTTATAAGTGAAATTATTTTTTGTACACTGATTAGTTTGTGAGATCAAATAAAACAAATAAACATAAGAACATGAACAGGTATGTTACTACCATAAGATGAATTAGACATTTCCATGGAGCACCAACTCCGAGTCTGTCACTGGGTGCCACATTGGAAGACGGAATTACGTTTTTTATTTTGTAAAGGAGTGAGCCACTACCCACCCACCACGCACAGGGAACACACCAACACAATACTCAGCCATCCCTACCACACATGAACAATACTTCCTCCCACATACATAAACAGCCATTCAACAGCCTTTGACACTGTTGATCATGTTCTCCTTCTGCAAACTCTTCAATCACTTGGTCTCTGTGACACTGTTCTCTCGTGGTTTTCCTCCTATATCTCCCAACGCTCAGTCAGTGTCTCTTTTTCTAACGATACCTTCTAATTTTTCTAATGATACCTTCATCCTGTCTCTGTTGGAGTCCCCCGATGACCCTCAGAAATATATCTCTCCTCCCCAGACCTCCCTCTGCCATCCTGCAACATGTCACCTCTTGCCTTTCTTCCATCTCTGTTTGGATGTCCTCCAGCTTTCTGAAACTCAATCTCTCTAAAATGTAACTTCTTGTCTTTCCTCCTCCTAATACTGATCCTCCTCTCTTGCTCTCCCTTCAAGTTGGTGGTACTCACATCAGCCCATCCTTACAAGCATGTTGTCTGGGTGTTATATTTGATTCTGGCTTCACCTTTGAGCCTCACATCCAGTCTCTTGTCAAATCCTGCTGCTTAAAAACATTAAAAGCATTGCCTGCATCCGCCCCTTTCTTACGCAAGATGCTACTAACCAGTTTGTCCATGCTCTAGTAATCTCTCACATGGATTATTGTAACTCTCTCCTAATTGGTCTTCCCAGTAGACGTACTGCCCCGCTACAGTCTGTAATGAATGCTGGTGTCAGACTGATTTTCCTTACCGCCGCTCCTCTCACACCTATCCTCTCTGTCAGTCCTTACATTGGCCTACTGTATATTATAGGAGTCAATTCAAAGTACTACAAAGCAAAAAGGAGAAAAGTGTCCAATGTAAACAATCTCCTGAATGGGGGTTAACCCCTGGTTAAAGGAGTTTCACCAAGAACGTAAAAAGCTAAAGGGGAAACAGGAGAAAAATCGGATTTTGGTAGAATATCCTGGAGAGTGGGTATCCCTGTTAATTCCAGAAAGGGGGAAATATTCTGAAAAAGAAAGGAGGAGAGAAAAATTTATATACAGGGTGAAACCTCAAAAAAATAAAACTTAACTTTTATTGAGAAAAATATGAGACATCCAGTCTCTTGTCAAATCCTGCTGCTTAAAAACATTAAAAACATTGCCTGCATCCGCCCCTTTCTTACGCAAGATACCACTAACAAGTTTGTCCATGATCTAGTAATCTCTCACATGGATTATTGTAACTCTCTCCTAATTGGTCTTCCCAGTAGACGTACTGCCCCGCTACAGTCTGTAATGAATGCTGGTGTCAGACTGATTTTCCTCTCCCGCCACTCCTCTCACACCTATCCTCTCTGTCAGTCCTTACATTGGCCTACTGTATATTATAGGAGTCAATTCAAAGTACTACAAAGCAAAAAGGAGAAAAGTGTCCAATGTAAACAATCTCCTGAATGGGGGTTAACTCCTGGTGAAAGGAGTTTCACCAAGAACGTAAAAAGCTAAAGGGGAAACAGGAGAATATCCTGGAGAGTGGGTATCCCTGTTATTTCTGGAAAGGGGGAAACATTCCGAAAAAAAGGGAGGGGAGGGGGGGAAGGGGGGAGAAAAATATATATACAGAGTGAAACCTCAAAAAAATAAAACAACTTTTATTGAGAAAAATATAAATGAGGTGAAACAAACCTAGAGAGACACAAATTATATAAAACCAATAAATAAGCGTGGGTGAATACAACCGCCCACCAAATCAGTCTGAGACTGGATGGTCTGAATAGATTATATATGCAGAAGCTCACTCTGATACAGTGTATCGGTATAAATGAGTGGAAATAGTACCTAACTGAGACCAGGAGCTGTAGCAAAGTATATGATTGTAACAAATGGTTAACTATCAAAGTTGTGTAATATGATTACAGTAACTGGACTTATCGGGTAGAAGTAGAGTCTCAGCTGGCTGCAACAAAATAAAGTCTCTAAAGTAGAACGGTCACCCAAACTGATCCGTTTCTGTCGTCTGATATCGTGCTGGGGTTGCGCGGTATACAGAAACAATTAAGTTATAGCAGATAAATTACTGTCTTAACTGTGTATATTGGCCACAGTGATAGTTCCTTTAGATATTCAGAGTCTCGGCTAGCTGCTAATTTTTATATAATCGTATATGTACACTTAATCACAAAACATAATCTAAATATAGTGTCTGATAACATGCATCCCATGAATATGGGAGTTATTGTCTAAGTAGTTAGCCACAATGATAGTAAATAGTGGCTGTACAAGACAGAGTTACTAGTTGTGGGTATAGGGACTATCAGTACTATATATAAAAATAATGTGTCTGCTAAATTGACGTGATACGTTGACAGGTGGCAGTTTCTAAGTATTCTGCCTGGAAGGTATAATACCGAAGCTTAGCCTGGGTCAAAAGGAAGGGATTAAAATATCCTATCTCCCAACTACCCTAAGTACTTGTGCCTTTGAGGTAAAAACCCTAAGTACTTGTGCCTTAAGTAAAAACCTACATAGACCCTCACGCTAAATAGAGAGGGCCTCCTGCCAGGACCCTGCACAGAAAACAAAGTGAGGGTTTAATCGCTGCTGCCAGAGAACGCTCAGGTCGTGTTCCTGCCAATAAAAGGTATCAGAGGTTTCAACCCAATCCTACAGGCTAAGCCACAGTAGACAGTGCATCGGCTGTTACCTAGCCTAGAGCGAGTAGCAGAAGATTGCAGTGAATTAGAGCATATGATAAATGTCACTGTTGGTTCAGTGACTTGTGGATAGCGCCAGTGTAATCCCCTGATACGCGTTTTACTGCTCTGGCTCATCAGAGCACCTCTGAATGTGAAAGTTAGAATCAATTGAGCCTTAACTGACAGTTTCCCTATCATTAATGGAACTAGGCAGGGATGTCCGTTATCACCCCTGCTTTTTGCTCTAATGTTAGAACCACTCTTGAACACTGTGCGCCAAAACTCGAACATCAAAGGGATGCACAGCAGAGGACTAGATCATAAAATAGCTGCCTACACGGACGATGTCACAAACGCACCCTACTTCAAGAGTGTGCGTAAAGTAGTTGAGGTGGTGAAAGGGTTAAAGTTCACTAGTTGTCTGCACTAGATCGAAAATAATGACAAAATCCCCCTTAACACCACCCACCCTTAAACATAATAATATAACTATTACTATTTTAACGCTGCCACCACCAAGACAATTTATAAATGGGGTACCTTGGGCCCACAGGTAAATCAATAATAAAAACCCACCAAAAACAACCTAGTACAATATTTAAGGAATTAATTAGGTAACGTGATGCTTCACGTGATCTTCAGGTAACGTGATGCTCTACCAGACAATGGCAGAACTTAATAAAGGAATATTTATTATGAGCAAAAAGTAGTCACAGTGCATACAAAAATATAGATGACAATCAAAATTATTACACCAACAACAGATAAAAACAAAACACAGAAAGTCCTAATCACTTACTCAGCTCTTCAAAGTAAATACTTCTGCCCCAGAAGAGGGTATCTGGTAGGAAACTCACTTGGAATTAGATTCTGGCCCCAAGCAAGTACACAGACATTTCAGTATCATTGGATATATACCCTGTGGATTACCACGCCTGGTCTAGAGGTGGAGTTAAGGCGTATCTATAGAGATAACGAGTGACCACCCCCTTGTGTTCCAGACCAACAGCAATCCAAATGGAAACATTTGGTTCTATTTTCTCTTATGTACCTGCCACAGAATTAATAACTGCATCTACAAATTTATTATTATTTTCCCATTATATAGATATGTTATATGCTGTACTTGTGACCCAACAATCATGTTTGGGCTTTTTTAGTAGATGGGGCTTGCCAATCTAAATATAACAAAAACGAGGCTTAATTATTATTCTGTGGGTAAATATGAATGTTTTTCCTTTTGGATATGATACTGGAACAAGGTTAATGGCCATTTACATATCAAAGAGATTGACCCATCAATAAAGAAGTACAGGCTATATGGCTGAGCCAGACATTCAGGCTTTTCCAGTGCACCTTGCAGAGCCTTTGAGTAATCACAGGATCC